GGGGATGTGAGGGCAGCAGCGCGGCCGGCGGGCCCAGAGCGGCGCGGAGGCCGGCCGCACACGGTAACGCGCCGAGAGCGCGCGGGGAGCCTTGGGCAGAAGCGCGAGGGGTGCTGCGGTTCCGGGCCGGGTAGCTGGCGTTACGGTCGGGAGGGCCGCGGCCGGGGAGCCGCTGGAGGCCGGCGGCAGGTGCCGGCACCCTTCATTCCACAATCCCTCCCCAGCTCCACCCACCTTGGCCTTGACCCAGCCTCCAAGGGCTAAAAATATTGCCTGGAGGCTCCTGAGTGGAATCAGATAGCGCTAAGTAGGGCACAACGCAAAGGCGACAGCGCTGCTCCGAGGCTCCCGCCTACGCTCAGCCCAGCAGATAGCGTCCCCCGTCTCTGAGCAGGCCAGGAGGTCTGGGGGCGGTACAGTTGGCTGAAGTTGACCCACAGCCCAGAAGCTGTGTCCGCCTTTCACTACCCAGGGAACCCTAAGACCGTAATGCTTCAGCGCTGGCTGCCAGAGCCCTTCCCAGGGGCCCGCTGAGTGCTTTCCACAAGCCTCAAGCTGCAAGTTAGAAAGCCCAGGCATAGCAACTAACTGGGAAAGGACATAGCGTTTGCCTTCTTTCTTGGTTTCATTAATTTTTCTATTAAGGAAAGAGGAGCTATGTTTCTGATGTCTCTTCTATTCCAAGTCTGCAGGCGGAAAGGCTTACCTGGCTTACCCTTTCAGCTCCACAGAATAGAGACTAGTTTGTTTCTGCAGAAGTGAAAGCCCGTGTCCAAGGAAAATGGACACACACACGCACACATGCACCTACCTTCTTGGCTCACTTGTGCTTTCTCACTAAAGCGGGTTTCAGTATAGACAAGCCCAGTGGGAAGCTGGTTATATCAGCAAGTTGTGTGGTGAACTCTTGGAGCCAGAGTGTGTGATGTTTGTCATAAAAAAAAACCAAACAAACCCAATTTATTATTTTTTTAAATGACATTAGTCTAAGGGGGAGAGGGAGACTCCATCTTCTCCACTATTTGGGCAGGACCAGCCACAGGTGTGCTACTGAATCTTGGTCAAAAAAATAAACTGATGGTCACAGGCAGTGTTGGGATCTGGTGTTGAGAAGCCTGCTCTTCAGAGCCAGGCAACTAGATGTCCCTGGGGAGCGATCTGCTCCCAGGATGCTGATAGGTCATTTGCATACCAGTCCTACAAATGGTGTTCCTTCTGCCAGGTGTGTGTGGAGGCCAGAATGAAGCTGAAAAAGCAAGTGACAGTGTGCGGGGCTGCGATCTTCTGCGTGGCAGTCTTCTCGCTCTACCTCATGCTGGACCGCGTGCAGCATGATCCCGCCCGACACCAGAACGGTGGCAACTTCCCCCGGGTGAGTCAAGCCTGCTTGACATCACCTCTTCAGATACAAGACTCCTGGGCCCAGCTTGTGCCCCAAACCCAGGGCAGGAACATTTCTTCCCAATATGCAGGTTTTTCTAGGAACCCTCCATGGAAACCAGCAATGACAAAAGGGGGCGGGGGAATGGTAATATGTACAGCAGTTTTGTCCTCTTGAATTCTTGGCAGACATTGTTAGTTGATGGTAGCATTCTTTCCCGCTAAGCCTGATACAGCTCTCCCAGCACAGTGCTCCAGATAGCCAGCAACAGGGGTTCAAATCAGGTAAGTGAGAAGATACCTTTGCTGTCCCTGAACTAAAGATGATGATGCTTCGTGGAGAGCGGTCCCCAGTAGTGTTGTGCACGTCTTGCATAACTAGGCTTGTCCATCCTGAGAGGCTCACAGGTCCTGGCTTCTTTCAGGAAGGAGAGGATCATAGTTGTCCCTCATGAGGTGTACCCAGTGCGGTCCCCTGTGCGGCCTCAGGAGCCGTGAGTGACTGCTCTGGTTTTTCGGCAGAGCCAAATTTCTGTGCTGCAGAACCGCATCGAGCAGCTGGAGCAGCTGTTGGAGGAGAACCACGAGATCATCAGCCATATCAAGGACTCGGTGCTGGAGCTGACAGCCAACGCGGAGGGCCCGCCGCCCCTACTGCCCTACTACACGGCCAACGGTTCCTGGGTGTTGCCGCCGGAGCCCCAGCCCAGCTTCTTCTCCATCTCCCCCCAGGATTGCCAGTTTGCTTTGGGGGGCCGAGGCCAGAAGCCAGACCTCCAGGTAAGAGTCAGAGTGGCAGGGAGCCACAGTGGTTGTGGGCAAGGCCCTGAGTGGCTATTCTCCCTGGCAGATGCTGGCTATATCAGAGACGTTGCCATTTGACAACATGGACGGTGGGGTGTGGAAGCAAGGCTTTGACATCACCTACAGCCCAAATGACTGGGATGCTGAGGACCTGCAGGTGTTTGTGGTGCCCCACTCTCACAATGACCCAGGTGAGGGTCTGCTGGCCTCTCGGGCCTGTGTGGGACACAGGCTTTCTGATGTCCAGGGTTTGGAAGCACAGCTGAAGGAAATGGTGGATCCATGGGGGACTGTGTTGCCTTCCCCACCCCACAGGCTGGATCAAGACCTTTGACAAGTACTACACAGAGCAGACCCAGTATATCCTCAACAGCATGGTCTCCAAGCTGCAGGAGGACCCCCGGCGGCGCTTCCTCTGGGCAGAGGTCTCCTTCTTTGCCAAGTGGTGGGACAACATCAATGGCCAAAAGAGAGCAGCGGTCCGAAGGCTAGTTCCAGCTGGGAAGTCGTGGGAGGGCTTTGAAGTGGAGAAGGTCATATGGGCCCTACGGGGGCGTGGAAATCTCACCTCAAGCTGGGGTACTAAGGTGTCAGGGTGACGCAAGGGAAATGCTGGTGGAGGCAGAGTCATGGTAGAGAGCCCCAAAATGAGAAATCAAGGATAGATTTGAGGGCCACTAACATTAAGCAAGGGGGGGGCTATTGTCTTGGTGGTAAGGAGTTGTGCTCCCAACCCAAAGGCACTGAGTTTGAATCCACCAGCTGCTCTGCAGGAGAAATAAGATCATTCTCCTCCTGTGTGATTTGCTGCCTTTGAAAACCCGCTGGAGGTTCAGCTGTGGATTCTGACTCGACAGTACATCATAACAGCAGCAGGATTCAGAGAGAAGTTACTGGTGGTTCTGTGGTCAAATCCTGACCTCTGCAGGAGCGCCAGGCTCCCAGTTCACGGCCAGTGCCTCTCACGCACAGCCACCAGCTCTATGTTAGTGGACACTTGCATGTTGCTGTATGTTGATCAGAGATTTCAGTGGAGCTTCTGTACTAAGACCAGCTTCCTGTGGCCTGGAGGTTCATTACTGACAAATCAGCCGTGAGGACCCTACAGGTCACAGTAGTCTGATGATGTATTGTGCATGGGGTCACCATGAGTTAGGGGTCAACTTGATGACAGCTAGCAGGAACATCTGGTGTGGAGAGGTGCTGTGTGGCGGAACTGCTTGGCATGGTCAGCTGTTAACTGGAAGGTCAAAGGTTTGACCCAGAGAGACCTGGTGTCTCCTTGGGAAAATCAGCCACTGGAACCTGGTGGAGCACAGTTTTACTCGTGACACCTGTGGGTTTGCCATGCATCCAGATTGACGCAACACCAGGTGCTGGTTTTGCAAGAAAGATCAAAGTCACGTGAGCATTAGCGAAGGGGGAGTGTGGAGCCCTAGATGGGTGGATAGAGATCCAGAGATGAACAGGACCCTGAGTAGCATGGAGGGGAAGGAGGGGCACCATTTGTTCTCTCGCCCTGGGTTTGGTGCACCGGCTCCTCCAGGCTTCCTGGCATCTCCTGATTGGTTATTTTGGAGGAGGCCTGGGAAAGTGCCCTGTCCTAAATATGAATCCTTAACTGCAGGCTAGTGGGAAATGGACAGCTGGAGATTGCAACAGGAGGCTGGGTGATGCCCGACGAAGCCAACTCCCACTACTTCGCACTGATTGACCAGCTCATCGAGGGGCATCAGTGGCTAGAGAAGAATCTGGGTAAGTCCAGGCTAAGGAAAGGGAGCCTGCCCCCCGGGGATGGGCCCCAGGAACATCAGGGTGCCATAAAGCTCAGGGGCAGCATGAGGGGGCTCTTTTCTGGACAGATCCCACCAGTGGGGGCCTGGTGAGGTGTTTGTGAAGGCAGCCGCTGAGGCCCCGGGACCTGGGGTGGAGAAGCTGGACCCAAGGAGTTGAGAGCCTCTAACATCCGTGTTCTGGCCAGGTGCAACCCCACGGTCTGGCTGGGCAGTGGACCCCTTTGGGTACAGCTCTACCATGCCTTACCTGCTTCGCCGTGCCAACCTGACCAGCATGCTGATCCAGAGGGTGCACTATGCCATCAAGAAGCACTTCGCTGCCACTCACAGCCTGGAGTTCATGTGGAGGCAGACCTGGGGTAAGGCCAGTTAGGGTGGAGGGCAATGGGAGTATATTTCTCCCTGGGAAGGATCAGGGAGATCAGAAGTAAAATCCCTCTGCTCTTCAGAACCCAAAGTCTGTGTGTGTGTGGCCAATGAGTTTACACTAGACCGTTAACCTAGACGGCGCTCTAGTGGCCTAGTGGTTAAGGAATTGTCCTGCCAACCCAAAGGCAAGCAGTTCAAATCCTCCAGGTGCTTTGCAAGAGAAAGATGGGCAGTCTCTTCTAATGAAACTGCCTCTGAAAACCTGCTTAGGGGTCAGCTGTGGGTCAGTTTCAATTTGATAATTGGAACAACACAGCTAACCTAAAGGTTGACGGTTCAGACTTAACCAGCGGCACTGTAGAGGACGTGCCTGGTGAACTATTTCCTTAAAGATTCCTGTTGCCATTGAATTGTTTCTGATCCATGACAATTCATCACGGTAGAATTCCTGATTCATGGAAATGCCTCATTGTTTTGTAAGCTACAAACTTTATAGAAGGAGACTGCCACTTCTCCTGTAGGAGCAGTTAAGCACTTGGCTGTTAACTGAAAGGTGGTTGGTTCGAATCTGCCAGCCATGCCTCAGGAGAAAGATGTGGCAGCTACTTCCGTAAAGTTCTGCTTCATCCTGTAGAGTCGTTGTTAGTCAGTAACAGCTTGAGGTTGTAAAGATGTTGACCCCCAGTGTGCCGTGGAACAGTTCTCCGTGACACGTGGGTTGTTGCCGAGTCGTAACCACTTTAGTGGCAGCAGGTGTGGTTTTGGGGTTTGGCTTTTCTGCATTTGCTGGATTCACTCTTCACATTAGGTTGACCTCTGCCCTCTGTGGCATCTGAGGACCTTAACCTTCCTATGTCCCCTCCCTGGAGGACCTATGGGCTTTTGGCCCTCCTTGGATCCCAGCCTCTGGCCCATGTGTCCTCTACAGCCTTGAGCTCAGTGCAGCCTCACCCCCTGTCAGACATGTTCCCTACCTTTCCAACTCTCTGCCGTCTGGGGTCCCTGTCCCCAGCCCTTCGGCGTTGACTCTGACGTGTGTCTTCTGCAGACTCAGACTCCAGCACCGACATCTTCTGCCACATGATGCCCTTCTACAGCTATGACGTCCCACATACCTGTGGCCCAGATCCCAAGATCTGCTGCCAATTTGATTTCAAACGCTTGCCTGGCGGGCGCATCAACTGCCCTTGGAAGGTGCCTCCCCGCGCCATCACGGAGGCCAACGTGGCTGAGAGGTATCTGCTTCCAGCCCTGGGATGCATGCAGTGTTGCTGTCTACACTCCACAGAGGAGTCCGATCTGCCTCTGTCTTCTGGGCTGGGCTGTCCACATGGGGGACTGCCTAACAGCCCAGCCTTGTTCGGCTTCCCTGAAATGGGGGAGCTTGGCTAGGCTGGTGATCACAGTCCCATGGCAGTGGTGGCCGCATTCTGAGTCCCCTTGGAAAGCTGGGGGAACCCTAATTAATCACCTTCCACAGTGGGTTTATTTTCCCAAAGGATTATGCTTCTGAGTGATTGTCCTAGCAAACTATCAGAGCTTACGAATTAACTTGGCAGTGAATGACTCTCATACTGCTTTTCCCTTTGAGACTCTGATAGTGTAGTCTATAGAGCAGTACTGTTAGCCGAAAGGCAGTTCACCAGTTCAAATTCACCAGCCACTTCATGAGAGAAAAATGAGCACTTTCTTCCTGTGCAATTTACTGCCTTATGAAAACCCTCTGGAAGGTCAACTCTGAGTCAGTTCCAGTTTGACAGCTATAAATGTGGCTTTTTTTAAAAATTTTTTTTTCCAAACTTCTAATTTTAGAAATCCATTTAATATATTGTTTTTGGGTAGAGAACGTATCAGATGTTAAACTGACAGAAACAGATACTACATTTGGTTTTAGCCAAAAGACTGAGACGCGATCGGCTTTTTTTGTTATAGTCTAATAAGTCCTCATCTTCAGCTTGGCATCTTGACTCAGTCCTAATTCAGCCAGGATCCTCAGAGGTCAGTTGACTGAGGATTTCCCGGAGATGCTTAGATTCACCTTGAAGCCCACCAGACAAGCCAGGGAAATCAATGTTCTCTTCAGGAGAACATTTAGGGACTCCTAATGCCCGTGCTACTGCTGAAGTCAGCCCCTCTGGGAGGTGCTGATGAAGAGTGAGACGGAGGGCCAGCCAGAACCGGCTGCCATTAAGAACACAACAAGTCGAGCTGGTTTTTACAATGTGGTGCTCTGATTCCTTGATGTCAAGGAGGTGAAGCATGTGACCGAAGGGGAAAGAAAGTAGCCTTTTGTTTCCAGAATCCAGGAGTGTAAATGCTGATTCTAGGCAGGAATCCAGGACCTGTTTTTTCTTAAAGCAGCAGCTGAGATTCAAAGATGCCCAGCCTGGGTTCCCTCAGATCACACCAGCAGAGAGAACTGCTCTGTCTCCTTTGTGCAGATTACTGGACCAGTAAATTAGGAAGAGGTGGGATTTGAAGCACCTTCTCTTGGTAGCCTAGAGGATAAATAAGAAATGTACAAGTCAGGCCAGGTGTGGTTAAGTGGGTTTTTGACTGGTTGAACTGTGATACCCATAATGTGCCAGTTAATAGGTAGAAACTAAAAAGAAAAAGGACCTTTTAGTGATGTGTTTGAAGGCTTTGTTTTCCAATTGATTTTCCCCAACAATTTAGGTGGAAGGCAGAAAATAACAAATGTTTATGTATAGTTGCTAAGGGTCCCCGGAGAGGCTCTGGCTGTGTCCTCTGTAGGGAGGAGTGTTGCTAACGCAAAGGCCTCGTCCATCTGGCAGGTCACATCTCCTAGCAGCTCTAAGGAGAAAGATAGGCAGTCTATGTGGTTTACAGTGAAACCAAGTGAAGGGCCAGCTAAGAATCAGTGGTTCTGACTTGATGGTGATGAGGGAGTGAGGAGTCTGGGAAAAGTGAGATGTCTGCTAACTAACAGGTTGGTGGTTTGCATCCACCACGTACTCCACAGGAGAAAAATGGGTCCATCTGCTTCCATAAAGGTTACAGCCTCAGAGACTGTGAGACTGTTCTGACTCACCCTGGAGCTTCCGTCAGAGTCAGAGTTGGTCCAGTGACAACTGATTGGAATCCCTGAGTGACACACGCAGGGTCCGCTCCAAATTACTGAGGAGCAGGGTACCAGTTGGAGGATTAAGGTGCACCTGGTTCAGGTCATGGTCTTATCAGTCACTTGTGGCACATCTGAGAGCTGGACAGTGAATAAGGATGACAGTATTGATTCCTTTGGGCTGTGGTTTGAAGAGTGCTGAATATCGTGTGGACTGCCAAAAGAACAAACAAACAAGCCTTGGAGAAGATTCAGGCAGAGTGCTCCTTGGAGTTAAAGATAACATTTTGTCTTACATGCTTTGGGCATGTTGCTAAGAGAGATTATACCTTGGAAGGGAACATCATGCTTGGAAATGTGGAGCGGTGTTGAAAGAAAGGAAGACCCTCAACCAGGTGGATTGACACAGTGACTGCAGCAATGGGCTCTAGTGTGTCCGAGATGGTGAGGAAGACACAGGATGGGACGGGGTTCAGATCTGTTCACTGGGTCACTGTGAGTCACACTCGATGGCACTTAGCAGCTGTGTGCATGAGGAGCCCTTCTGGTGTAGTGCTCAGTATGTTGTGCTGCTAACCTAGGAGTTAGCAGTTCGAGTCCATCAACTGCTTTGTGGGAGAAAGGTGGGCACTCTCTTCCCATTAAGATTTCCAGCCTTGAGGACCCAGTGGAGGGTTGATTTGAGTTGAAACTGACCAGATGGTAGTGGATTTAGATTTTGGAGTTGTTTTTCTTTTTTTAGTTACTGTGTGTAAGGCATTAATCTAAACGCCATGCAAACATCAGCTCATTAAAATTTATTTCCACCCTCTTAACATGATGAGGGTATATGGAGCCTGATGTTACCCTCGTTTTATAGGAAGTGAGGCACAGAAAGGTGAAGCAACTTACCCAGAGTCACACAGGCAGTAAATGCAGAGCCGGCTCTGGTGCAGGCTGGCCTCAGAGCCCAAGCTCTCCACGGCCGCCTCCGCTGCATCCTGCACTGGTGAGCATGGTGAAGCCGTGGTGCCAGAGCGCAGATCTGTCAGGACGTGGGCCACATCTGACCAGATCGGATGGATCTAAACTGAGGGAAACTTAGCTTCAGAAAGCAGAACATTCAGAATGAGGAGAAAAGCCCCTAGTCAGCCTCGCACTACTCTGAGGGCATTCCAGGCCACATGGAGGGGCTGGTTTATCCTCCCTCTGCTCCTGCAGCCAGTGCCAGGCCCCTCACCCCAAGGAAGCTGGTACACCAGGACTGTAGGGTGAATGGCATCCATCAGGCAGGCTCCAGCTGATGCTGCATGGAGACCATACAGATGGGGAACCAGTATAGCAGAGCCCGAAGAGGAAGCATGAGGTGTGGGCTCATCTGTGCTAGTTCTGAACGATCCGGGGGAAGAAGGACCAGTTTATTCTGTGTAGTATCAGAGGTTACATCATGCTTGGGAGGGTGGAAGGATAGCGCAGGAGGGGAAGACCCTCTATGAGGTGGATTGATTCAGTGACTGGAGTAATTGGGACAGGTGTGTCGGAGGCAGTGCGGTTGGCACAGGACAGAGCAGGATTTAGGGCTGTTGTACATAGGGTCGCTATGAGTCGCAAGCAACTCGATGGCACATAACAACAACAACAGTATCAGAGGGCAGAACTAGAGTTAGGGAGCTGAGGCCATAAATTCTAGCCTCACATAAAGAAGGGTGTCAGAAACCTGGGTCCCAGGCTGGCCTTCCCTCCCTTCAGAAAAGTTCACCTGCAGACAGGAGGACCTTTTAGTAGGCGTGTCTCAGGGGTGCTGGCTCTGGTGTGGCTCTGGTGATCCTGACACGAAGGCTTCCTGTTGGGTGCCTGCCCTCTGCCTCCCACAGGGCAGCCCTGCTCCTGGACCAGTACCGGAAGAAATCCCGCCTGTTCCGAAGCAACATCCTCCTGGTGCCACTTGGTGACGACTTCCGGTACGACAAGCCCCAGGAATGGGACGCCCAGTTCTTCAACTACCAACGCCTCTTTGACTTTCTCAACAGCAAACCCGACCTCCACGTGCAGGTGCGGGGACTCAGTGGGGAAGGGGCTTGGGGGGCTCCTGCCTGGGGCCCTTAGCACTGCTGCAGCTCAGCCTCCCTCAAAGTCTCTGCTCACTGTCATCAGCAGGGGCCCGTATGACCCGTCCCGCTTTCCTTGTACATCAGCGTCCCCTGCCTGGCTCCGGCACAGGTCCAGCCCCAGTCCTGCTGCAGCACTGTGGCCAGGATTCCCCAGAGCCTCTGAGACTGAGCGGGGTGGCTTTGGGGTCCTCACAGGCCCAGTTTGGCACCCTCTCGGATTATTTCGACGCCCTGTACAAGAAGACAGGAGTGGAGCCGGGTGCTCGGCCTCCGGGGTTTCCTGTGTTGAGTGGAGATTTCTTCTCCTATGCTGACCGGGAGGACCATTACTGGACAGGCTACTTCACTTCTCGGCCTTTCTACAAGAGCTTGGACCGGGTCCTGGAAGCCCACCTGCGGTGAGCCAGGCCCCCTTTACCAGCCTAGAGGGAGCAGGGGGAGCTTTTGAGGTTTGAGGAGGGACAGGGCTGGATCAGGGGACCAAGGCCAGTGGACAGTGTGTAAGATCAGGCTTCTGCTTGGAAAGCAGGGCTTGACCCTGGGGAGCCATGGTGGCCAGTGGCTGACCCTTCTCTCCGGGCAGGGGGGCAGAGATCCTCTACAGCCTGGCTGTGGCCCATGCCCGCCGGTCTGGAGTGGCCAGCCAGTACCCGCTCTCCAACTTTGCCCTTCTGACGGAGGCCCGGCGCACACTGGGGCTCTTCCAGCACCACGATGCCATCACCGGCACCGCCAAGGAGGCCGTGGTGGTGGACTACGGGGTCAGGTGAGGCCCGCTCCTCTCAGGGCGCAGGCCCACGGCAGCACAGTCAGCCTACCCGTAGTGATCATTCTGGGCCCCAACGTCACTCACCTTCACAGCCTGCCTTCCGCCCACCCACAGGCTCCTGCGGTCGCTGGTCAGCCTGAAGCAGGTCATCATCAACGCTGCTCACTACCTGGTGCTGGGGGACAAGGAGACCTACCACTTCGACCCTGCAGCGCCTTTCCTGCAGATGGTGAGCCCCGCCCGGGGTGTGCCTGATGGGTGGTGTGTGAGGGTGGCGCCCCTGATTTCTCCCCACCTTGGGGGACAGTGCTGAGTCCAGTGCAGCTGGTGACCCACATCCAGGATTGAGGGGCCAGGGTGGGGGAACACACAGGGAGGAGGCAGGAGTTGGAGGTTCAGCCCAACACCAGGATGGTTCTGCCCTTCCCAGGATGATTCCCGCCTCAATCACGATGCCCTGCCCGAGCGCACCATCATCCAACTGGACTCCTCACCCAGGTGAGGCTGTGGACTGCGCCCCAACAGGCAGAGCCACCTCCGGCTCTATCTCCTTCTTTCCTGACCCCGGTCCTCACCCCCCAGGTCAGCCTACCTTGTGTTGGCAGGTACGTGGTGCTGTTCAACCCCCTGGATCAGGAGCGGCTCAGTGTGGTGTCCCTGCTGGTCAACTCACCCCGGGTGCGTGTCTTCTCCGAGGATGGCCAACCTCTAGGCGTGCAGATCAGCGCGCACTGGAGCTCAGCCACGGACATGGTGCATGACGTTTACCAGGTGAGGCGTCTGCCCTCTGCTCCCAGAGCTGCCCACCTCCCGGCCCAGCACTGCTTACTCCCCAGTATAGGGTGGGAATCTTGGGTTCAGGAGTGCCCAGAAGACAGTTTCTCTTGGCAGTGGAGTCTGCTCGTGGAAAGAAGGTGGAAGCTTCTGCAGTCATGATTATAGCAATGATGAGTCTGTAATGTCCTTGTCACTCATTCACTTAACAAGTATTTACTGAAAGCGTACCACTTCATAGGCTTTTTGGTTTTGTTTTTTTAAAAATCTTATTAAACACTTATAAGAGTGACAAAGAAGGGCAGACAATGTCCCCTCCATTGTCAGAGGAGGAGAGGGAGGCCCTGGGAGGGTAGGGGCTGGCATGACCTCCCATCAGCTGACACGCTGCAGCTGGAACCACAGGTCTGGGCCCAGAGCTGATGTCGCTGCGTGGCCCCCTTCCTTGTGCCCTGTGTCCGCAGGTGTCTGTGCCCGTGCGCCTGCCAGCCCTCGGCCTGGGCGTGCTGCAGTTGCAGCAGGGCCTGGATGGACACCGCACACTCCCCTCCTCTGTGCGTGTCTACCTGCACGGCCGCCAGCTGTCTGTCAGCAGACACGAGGCCTTCCCCGTCCGCGTCATTGACTCTGGCACTGGGGACTTTGCCCTCAGCAACCGCTACATGCAGGTCTGGTTCTCAGGCCTTACCGGGTTCCTCAAGGTAAAGGTCCAAGGGTGGTGGGGTGAAACCAGGCTGGTGGGTAGCGGAGTGGGGCCCAGTAGGGGTGCAGAGCTGCCTTCAGACTTGTGGTTGTGCTGTCCCCTGAGAAAGGTGGACAGCGGCATGGGCACGTCCACTCCCAGGTGACAGCACCAGGACGCAGGCCTTGGCCCCTGGGGAAATTGTGTCCCTGCTTTCCTGGGGTGGGGGAAGCCTGACCTGCTGCAGTGAGGCCAGGGGTCAGGGCTGTGTTTCTTGGCAGAGCATCCGGAGGGCGGACGAGGAGCAGGAGCAGCAAGTGAACATGGAATTCCTCATCTACGGCACCCGCACATCCAAAGACAAGAGTGGAGCCTACCTCTTCCTGCCTGACGGCGAGGCCAAGGTACCCTGGAGACGCTCCACAAAGCCTGGGGTCCTGGGAGGGTGTGCAGAGACAGGTGAACCAGTTGGGCAGGGTTAGGATCCTACCAAGAGGAGGATGCCCACGCCCCACCGTCCTTGATGGTCCCTGTCTTTGCCAGGAGGACTCTTACTGGGAACTTGGGTCCCATTCTGTCTTGGTTTCTTAGTGCTGTGCTAACAGAGATGCCACAGAATGATGGCTCTAACTAATGCGTCTGTTTTCTCCCAGTTAAAGAGGGTAGCAGTCTGAATTCGGCCCTCAGCTCTAAGGAACTAGGGAAATGCTCTTCTGTCTGCCCAGGGGGAACATTTGTGTCTTGGCCTCCCTGGGGGAGCTTCCTGGGGGAGCTCTTCCCTATTTGTGCTTGCTGTCCCGTGTCATCTGCCGTTTTGATGTCTCCAGAGTCCAGTTGAGTTGTTAGGTCTAAGAAACTCTGCACCAATAGGGCTTCATTAACATAACAAAGAAAACCCCGTTTTCAAATGAGTCTATCCACAGGTGTGTAGGTTAGGATTTACAGCACATTTTGGGGGAACTCAGTTCACTCCATGATGCTGGAGAATGTTCTCTGGTGTCCTGAGTCCAGCTCAGCAGGGTGTCCTGTCAGAGCTGACTGGAAGAAGTAGGTCCCTTGGCCAAGCCGAGGCTGGCACCCACCCGCTTTGCTCTGCACTTGGGATCAGCCACTACCTGCTGTCTTGCCAGCCGTACGTCCCCAGGGACCCGCCTGTACTCCGTGTCACTGAAGGCCCGTTCTTCTCAGAGGTGGCCGCCTACTACGAGCACATTCACCAAGTGGTCCGGCTTTACAACCTGCCAGGTGAGCTGTGCAGGTGAGGGAGGCCTCTGGGTGGAGGTGTGGGCTCCTGCCCCTTGTCTGTTCAGGCTGGCAAGTACATGTCTTGTTTCCAACAAATGTAACTTTCAAGGTGGGGCTGTTTACATCTCTGAGAGGAAAGGTCACCAGCAGTACCGTGGGGCTTTGGGGAGAGCCAGCCCAGACCTTCCCCAGCTCAGCCTGGATTTCTCGTGGTGGCTTGTCCTCCGACCTCACGCTCTCCTCTTGTGTTCATGCCCAGGGGTGGAGGGGCTGTCTGTAGACATGTCGTCCCTGGTGGATATCCGGGACTACGTCAACAAGGAGCTGGCCCTGCGCCTGCGCACGGACATCAAGAGCCAGGGCACCTTCTTCACGGACCTCAATGGCTTCCAGGTGATTCCTTGGGGGTGGAGGGAAACAACAGGAACAGAACAGGATGGAGATTCCAGAGCTGAACTTGGACTCTGCGTTTTGTCTCCATCGTAGGCTAAGAGGGGTGACCAACCCTGAATAGGAGAGGGCAGAGGAGAGAAGTCCAAGGCGAGGGCAGAGGTCCCTGGGGACCAGATAATGCCCACATGCCCTGATCCTCTAGTGTTCTTCTCTCAGGTGCAGCCCCGGCGATATCTGAAGAAACTGCCTCTTCAGGCCAACTTCTACCCCATGCCCGTCATGGCCTACATCCAGGACGCACGGAACCGCCTCACTCTGCACACTGCCCAGGCCCTGGGTGTCTCCAGTCTCGGCGATGGTGAGTAGGGGAGCAAGGACAGTCCATCTCAGCCCAGGCCTTCTGCCACACAGCCTCCCCACTGCCGGCCTGCCTCCCCCCAGCCCATTTCTGTAGTCTATGTCATCACCATGTCTGGGCAAGGGTGAGTCGCTCACTGTTTCTGTGGATCACCTGGGCCTGGCAGAAAGGTGGGCAGCTGCTGTCACCTGCACCCCTGGTGTCAGCAGCACCAGAGGCAGCTGGGTGGTGCATGTGTCACGGGCTTCCCTGAGAGGCATCGGGTATCAAACAGTGATTCTCAGCTGAGGCGTGCAAACTCCTTCTCTTGACCAAGAAATAGAGTAGTGTGAAAATGACATTCACTATCATAATAAAATATTTAGGAAAGGGGAAAAAAATCCATTTTCTTATTAAAATGTATCTCTCTCCCTTCGTAAATATTGTATTAAGGGTTGTTTTATTTTTTAAAATAACATTAATAGAGAGAATGGCAGAGCTGGTAACTTTGGGCATGCCCCAGGGTTCCCTCCTCCTCAGTGAAAGGTGAGGAGCTGGGCCTCGGGGGTCCTGGGGTCTTCTGTCTGTGAAAGGCAGAGCTTTTGTGAAGCTCTGAGCCTGGTATGCCCGGGTGAGGCTCAGCCCCTGGGCGGCTGGACAAGAGCCATGGGACCTGCTCCTGCCCAAGGAGTTATGGCTTCCCGTCCTGTTTCCCAGGAGCTGCTGGCCACAGAAATCTAGTGCAGGTCTGTCAGCCTCACTGACTCCTGTCTTCTCTGTGCCCTCTCTGGTGGTGCTACTCACAGAGGATCCACGTCAGAGTTTTGTGCTCTCTCTCAGAGGAGGTGTTACTGTTAGTTGTAGGCAAGTTGATTCCAACTCACAGTAACTCATGGTTACTCTTCTTCTGAGGAAGAGAGAAGAATAAGGGCTGTGGAGACAGCGGAGCAAGTGGGCCCTCTGTTCTGAGTGATGCAGGGACCGTTCTAGAGATCTTTGAGAAAAACAGGTCTGGAGAAACCTTTCCTCCAGCAAATTGCAGTGAGCCCTTCCCCAAGCATGTTTTTAAAGGAAAACACGAGTCCTCTCCCCACTCCTTTTCTCAGCAACCCCAAATAACACCTAATTTGAGTCCTGCCTGATTTACCAGCTGGCTACGCCTCTCCACAGCTCAGGTCTGACCTGCTGGGGCCCCTGCCTATTCCCTGCCAGAGTTGTTAGATGTCGCTGGAGTCAATTGAGTCTTCCTCATCATCTCTGATACACTTGAGCCCATTCCTGTGTTCACTGTCAATCTATCTCGCAGGAGTCTTCCTCTCCTTCACTAACCATTTTTCTGAGCTTGATTTCCCTTTCCAGAAAATAGCCTTGCCAAAATATGTCCAAAATATATGAGAGAAAAAGCTTCACCATTCTTGCCTCCAAGGAGCACTCTGACTGAACTTTCTCCAAGACATATGTTTGTCCTTGTTAGTCCATGGGATGTTCAGTACTCTTCTCTAGCACCACAATTGAAAGGCTTCAGTTCTTCTTCTGTCATCCTTAAGCTCTCAGATGTGTAGCAGGTGATTGAGAAGACCTTGCAGAAGAGCTTAGCAAAAATAGCAAAATCTGCCCCAGCCTGAGAACGCCGGCCCAGGGTAGGGAATCTGTGCCCCTTGACTGTGGCCTTGTCTGCTTGTTCACTCTGTTTTCTGTAACCAGTCTCCATGTGGCTCCCTGCCTGGGTGCCTGACCCTTGGCCTCACTTTTGAGTCACTGAACAGGGTGATAACCCCTGAGATCGGCCTGCCCTTTCTTGTTTCTCTCCTAATCTGAAGAATCCAGTCTTGCGAGTGGCAGTTCTCTAAGCTCCCGCATAAGCTCTAGGATTCAAGACCTCAGTCTCTCCTGAGCATCTCGGCTTCTTGTTCTCGGGAGGTTTTTCCCTCAGGGACTATGGTTGGACTTTTCTTACAAAGGCTGGTATCTGCCCAGGGGTGGGGACAGGCCAGGGGCTGACCGTTCATTTCCACAGGCCAGCTGGAGGTGATCTTGGACCGGCGGCTCATGCAGGATGACAACCGGGGCCTAGGCCAGGGCCTCAAGGACAACAAGAGAACCTGCAACCGTTTCCGCCTTCTGCTAGAGCGAAGAACGGCAGGCAGTGAGGTAAAGCTGGGGCCGAATGCCCAGGGAGCTAGGCCAAAGCAGTCCCTGCTGTGAGACCCTGGGGGTTCCAGCCTCGGGCCTCAGGAGTGGAGCTCCAGTCGGGCCATGGTTAGAGAGAGTGGTGCTGAGTGAAGGCTCTGGGCTGATGTCGGCAGGGCTGTGATGACACGAGCTCCTCTCCCCACCTTGGTTTGGCACCTCACTCCACCCCCATCCCACATCGCCTGGATCCCTGCTGCTCATTTCCCCTCGCTGTGCTGCCATCCTCGTCTCCTCCGACCCAGCGCCCTCGTCTTTCCCGACCCAGCACCCTCTAACCCTTGCTGCTCTGACCCCACTCATCTCATGGCTTTCTTTGCCCCCACCAGCCTGACCTTTTCTCCAAACTGACAGTCATGTTTAGGGACTTGATCTCTCACAGAAGCCACAGAAATCGAGAGATAAGGAAGGGGCAGCGCTAGGAGCCCACAGCCAGTATTTAGCCAGTTGTAACGGTCTCAGGAGCTGGTGGAAGTGTCAGCCCACGATGTCTGGTGTCTGGTGGCACAGTAGTTAAAGCACGTAGCTGCTCTCTGAGAGGTTGGGGTTTGGAGCCCACCAGCTCTCCGTGAGGGAAAGATGTGACAGGGTGTGTCCATAAAGATTGTTGTTGTATGTGCCGTCAAGTTTCCTGCGACTCACAGCAACCCTATGTACAACAGCCTTAAACTTTGCTCTATCCTATGCCAAATCTTATTGTCTCTGACACACCTACCCCCATTACCCCAGTCACTTAAGCAATCCATCACATTGAGGATTCATGTACTTTCCCTCCACCTTCCCACGCATGACGTCTCCAAGGACTGCTCCCTCCTTGCAATATGTCCAAAGTATGTCAGATGAAGCTTCAGAATCCTTGCTTCCAAGGAGCAGCCTGGTCTTACACTCTCTTGGATGAACTTGTTTCTTCTCCTAGCAGTCCATGGTATATTCAGTACTCTTCTCCAGCACCACAGCTCAAAGGCATCAGTTCTCCTTCTATCATCCCTAGTCATTTTCCAGCTTTCTGATGCATAGCAAGTAATTGCAAAGACTATGGCCTGGATCAGATGCACCTTAGACTCCAGACTGGCATCGTTGCTCTTCAGTACTTGGGAGAGGTCCCTGACAGCTGACTTTCCCAATGCAGCAGTCTAAGAAGCCCAGTGGGACAGGTCTGCTCTGTCCTGTAGAATTGCTGGAAGTTAGAATTGGCTTGATAGCAATGGGTTTAGGTTTTGAGTTTTTGCTTTGTGGCTTTGTCACTAAATGGACACTCAGCCCCTGGTATGTTTCAAGGACAGAGAGGGACATGAAAATACATACAGTACAGACACACCTGAGAAGAACTGGTCAGGGTATGTATGAGATGTGTATGTAAAAATACAAGGTGGAAAATGGGTATGGCCCACTGGGACTGAGGAGAGTGAGCAAGTGGACAGAGGGGACCCAGGACCACTTCCTAGAGCTGGTGTCACCCGAGCTCGGCTTTGCTGAACGGGACTGTGATTGGAGTACATGGCTCGGGGTGGAAGGCAGGAAGGACAGTGTGATGGGGAATAGCCATGGGGTCATTCAGCTGGACTAGAACGCTGCCGTCTAGCATGCTAACAACTGACCACTTAAGACTATTTAAATGAAGTAAAATTTCCGTTCTTCATTTGTACTAATGGCATCTCAAGTGCTCAGTGGCCGGATACGGCTGATGATTATTGTAAGACAGCGTAGCCGTAACATATTTCTACTGTTGCAGGAATTCTGTCATCCGCGCTGGGCTGGAGCATAATGTGGGTTGTAGGTGGTTACAGGCCTAATGAACACCTCACCGTGGAATAGGGGCTTCTGGGGGAGGACGCGCCCTCTGTAGCCCTCTGGTCTTGGCATGACACCGTTTCCATATGGGCAGCCCTCATTCGTGGCCCACTGGCCCTATAGCTCTGCCCTCCAGGGGCTATTCCCTCAACTTTAAGCTGTGGTGTTGGAGAAAAGTACTGAATGTCCCATGGACTGACAAAAGAACAGACAGATCTTGGAGAAGGTGCAGCCAGAGTGCTCCTGGGAGGCAAAGATGAGGATGTGTCGTCTCTCATACTTTGGGCAGGAGAGGCTGTTCCATGGGGAGGGCCTCACGTCCTAGAACTCTGTATGATGATCCAGTCTCCTAGTGCCCATAATAATTTTATGCTCATTTTCACTTTTTCCACTTTTCCTTTTACAGTTTTAGTTTCTGCTTCTAAAGACAAGATCAGCGGGTCTAGATCTGAATTTTAAAGTTTATTTCTTTCTAGTGGGTTTGCTGTTTAAAAACTAGTTTCTGTTGAATCATTTTTTACTCTTGGCAGCCCAGTATGTATCAGGGTAGATCTTTGCCACTTAGAGTTGTTTTTTTTTTTTTTCATTTCATTTTTAATTGTAGTGAAAGTTTGCGCAAAAGAAAACATTCATCAACCTCTCCATGTATACTTCAGTGGCATCCATTTCTTCCTGTGCGCTTTCTAACCATTATTTCATGACATTTTCAGTGGAGACAAGGGGGCCCTGTCCCAGTACCCTCAGCATGTCATTGCGGGCTGAGGGAGCAGATTAAGGCTAGTTCAGGCAGGAAGTGGTGGTGGCTTGAACTCAGGCCGTGCACAGAGATGTCAGATGTGGATGTGAGGGACACGGCTGAGGCAGAGTGGAAGAGGACTTAACAGCCAGCTGGGCCAGAGATGACAGGAGAGAATGTGGGGTCTGGGGCAGTGGAAAGGCAGGCGTGCTGGACACATATTCAAAGGGAGGAAAGATAGCCGGCCTGGAGGACAGCTCAGGTGAGGCCTGCCTGGCACGAAGTCCAGGTGAGGTGTGAGGGAGTAGCCCTCTGGTGGAGAGAGCCATAGGGCTGTGGGCCAAGAATGAGGGCTCCCAATATGGATCCTGGGTCATGCCAAGACCAGAGGGCTGCAGAGCGCTCGCTCCTCCTCCCCCAGAGGCTGCTACTCCATGGTGAGGCGTTTGTCTGTCCTTTTCCACCCTCCTTCCTGCGCTGAGGTAATGAGAGATGTGACAAACATGGATGTGTTCTTCTTATCAGTGCTATGAAAGGAGGTGAAAAGGCAGGTGGGTGGAAAGTGAACAGCCTAGTGAGTTGTGTAGGATGGGAAGTGGCCATGCTTGAAGGGTTAGAGGAACAGTGCATGGAGCCACATCCTGGGGCCCGTTAGGTCAACACACCAGGAAGCTGCTTCCAGAGACCCTGACCTGGATGTGCTTTGATCTGCTCCAGGCCCCCTCATCCTGACCCACTTCCTTCTCTCATATCGGGAAACTAATTTTTCAGGTCCATGATGTCCCCTCCACCAGCTACCCATCCCTCCTCAGTCACCTGACCTCCATGTACCTGAACACCCCAGCACTCGCCCTGCCTGTGGCCACGAGGCAGTTCCCAGGCCCTGGTCTGCGCTCTTTCCATCCTCTGGCCTCCTCACTGCCCTGTGACTTCCACCTGCTCAACCTGCGGGCGATCCAAGCGGAGGTGAGTGGTCTGCTCAGCCCTGTATCGCTGTGGCCACATTCTGGCCTTTCCTCGCCCTGACTGCTTCCTGCCCCTGGCCCTCCTTGGCGGCCGAGGTGCTGCGGCTCCCTAAAACCTCCCACCCTCTGTCCCACCATCCAGGATGATGCCTTGCCCTCAGCAGAGACTGCCCTTCTCTTACACCGCAAGGGTTTTGACTGTGGTCTTGAGGCCAAGAACTTGGGTTTCAACTGCACCACAAGCCAAGGCAAGGTGAGCAGGGCTGAGGTGTATCTGAGGGAGACGGGAGCAGGGGCGGAGAGAATGAGAGTGAGTGAGAGAGAGAGAGAGAGAGAGAGAGAGAGAGAGAGAGAGAGTGTGTGTGTGTGTGTGTGTGTGTGTGTGTGTGTCCCCGTGTCCCAGGTGAGATTGAGAGGAAGGCAGGGAAGTGGAGAGTGTCTGTGTGTGTGTGTGTGTGTGTGTGTGTGAGAGAGAGAGAGAGAGAGAGAGTGCGCAGATGTTAGTCGGGCAGTGGGAGGCTTCCTGGAGAAGGGGGAAGCTATTGACATGTCAAAGCACCTCCAGCTTGGCAGGGACGAGTTGAGACAAGGCACATGGCCTGAAAGCCTGTGTTCATGAATGTTGTTCCTTATGATTGAGTTGGTACCCACCCAGGCTGACAATCCAGTGCATTTTCAGAGGAGGCAGTAAATGGTGTGGAAGGAGATTGTCCATCCACTTCCTGCAGAGCAGCTGGTGGGTTTGAACTGCATACCTTTGGGTGGGCAGCACAATTCATTACCACCTTTCAGGGGTCGTAAACTGCCCCCCTCCCCCGTGTGCAGACTGTATGTGTATATGTTAGCATGTTTCTGGGATGTGACGGGCGGAAGAGCTGCTGGTGTATCAGCCGGCAGCTCAGTGGTGTCTTCTCCCCTCTCCTCAGGTGGCGCTGGGGAGCCTCTTCCAGGGCCTGGACGTTACTTTCCTGCAGCCAACCTCCCTGACACTCCTGTACCCACTGGCCTCGCCCTCCAACAGCACCGACATCTACTTGGAGCCCATGGAGATTGCCACCTTCCGCCTCCGCTTGGGCTAGGGCTTCTAGTGGCTTGAAGAGAAGTTCACCCACAGAGATGCCGCTGAATGTGAGATCAGGTCGGACAGGCCACACTGGGTACCTTGTCGCAACCTGCCTCAGAACTGACAGACTGGGCTCTGCCCCACATTTCCTGTTTATTGTTGCTTCTGTATTTGGGGGCAACCTGCAAGCCCAGTGCTGGGTATAGGTAGGGCAGGCGCCAGCAAGAATAAGGAGAGTCTGTTGTTGGTCAGAGGAGGTGCTGCCAGACTCGGCTTTGGGTGTGACTGGGCTTCTCCATCTGGAGAAGACTCAAGCCCCCTTCGTCTTCCCACAGTGGGGTGTGGAGGAAGCAGACACAGACAAGCTAAGGGGAGTCCGAGTGGGTCTCTCTAGGGGAGAGCTGCCTCCCAGGGGTGCTGTGGTAGTGTAGAGACTCATCCTGATGTGATGAGCGGGATTGGCATGACTCTCTGAACAGGAACTGGGGCCCAGAGGAAGTAGTGGCAGTGGGGTGGTAGAAGGAACCCTGCTTTTCCTAAGAGAAGGCCCAGCTGCTTTCTGGGAGGCTCCAGTGCTTCTGACCTGTGCAGCCCCTGGCTGCAGTGCAGCAGGAAGGGACTCTAGGGACTGGGGACTGTGTCATGGCTGAAGGTCATTGGACGCTTCAGGTACCCAGATCCCTGTTTTGTATGAGGCGCCTGGTCTGTATGCTGACTCGATGGGTGGCAGCAGGTGTTGGGGTCTTCCACCCATGACTCCTGCTTCGGTTCCTATGTCCCATACAGCACTGTCCCCAAGAACCCCCTCCTCTCATGGGGCTTTCTTTTAACAAACTTCCTTTCCTTGAAAGGAAGTAAAGCTGTTAAGACCTCATGTTCACAGTCACCCAGAAAACGCTTTCCGCAGTATCCCTACAGTCAGGCCTCGAAGCTTGACTTCCGGTCTGCCCTTCCCAGAAACAGCTGGTTCCCAGTTCAGGGGGCAGAATCTATAGAATCCATCAGGAGGCAACATGGCTGTGCACCAGCCTGTATTTCAGCTTCAGTTAACAGAGAAATATTTATGATAGTCTCTATAGATGCTGAAAAGATAATTTGGTAAGAACTAAAATTCATCTCTTGTTGAAACTTTCAGTAAAGACCAGAAAGCAACACACTATTCTAGAGAAAGGTCCCTGTTAGAATCCATCGGTGAATGGCATGTTAGAGTCGGCTCCACAGGCTTCCCCCTCACAAGCAGCCAGGGATATCCATGCCCTAGGCTGGTGTGGCACGTGAGGGCTGTGAGGGGTGACCATTGTCTCTGCAGATGACAGAAGTGCCCACCTGTCAAATCTAAGCACCAACTGATGACTACTATGAGCATTGTGTGGCTCAACCCAGATGAAAGACAGGTCCCCGTAATAAGATTTTAATGCTCCCCAGGTCAACCCATAAATGTCATGTCATCCCAGGGAGGATGGATACTTTTTAGAAGTGGGAAGGTCCTAAAAGAAGAGTAAATGGATGAGAATGCTGAGATCATTCTGGATGGTGAGCAGCTGAGCCTGGGCAGTGAAAGGTGGCCCTTTCTCTGGCAGATTTCCAGAGGGAAGGAGTGATCATGGTGGATTGAATCAGTGTGCTGGATTGGACTCAGACAGACCAGTGGACAAACCAAGTCCAGAAACAGACCTAGGTATATGCAGTTTGAGATCATGATGAAAGTGATATTTGAAATGAGGCAAAGATGGATTATTTAATAAATAATATTTTGAGACAACTGGCTATCAAAGTAATCTTATGGCTTGTATAAAATCAGTACAAAAAGAAAAAATTCTTAATACAAAAAGAAAACAAAGTTACTGAAGAAGATACAGGTTTATCTGTGTACCTCTGATGTGGGAGCCTCTTTTCTACAAATAATAAGAAGCCTAAGGGAATATAAAGAGACTTTTACCACCAAAAAGAGTAAACATTTCCGCAGGATATGAAACATCCTGGTTAAAGCACAACAGATGAGGAAAACCATCTGCGGCATATAAATCAAACGTTCAGTTGCTTTAGGAGATGAATTTGCTCTGGGGCCCTTAGAGGAAGTTAGAGGAACATGCCAACTTGTTACCTGTAGATTTGAGGGTGACCAAGCTGAGGTCGGGTCACCCAGGAGTGTTGCCACCAGCACCAGGCCACAGTCACTGTCATTCGGGGACTGTGGAGAGACCTCAGGTCAAGTGTCCTCTGTGGGGGTATAAATCACTCGGCAAAGGCATACCTCGCTTTATTGCGATTTGCAGACACTGAAGTTTTGTTTAAGCAAATTGAAGGTTATGGCAACCTTGCTCCACACAAGTCTTCCCGGTGCGATTTTTCCAGCAGCGTGTACTCACTCAGTGTCCCGATATCACGTGTTGATAATTTTCACAGTATCTCATCCTTTTTCACAAGGCCATCAGGAAACGTGAATACCACCTAACAGGCTGCAGATTGTGGAGACAGCATTTGTGTGCACTGAGATACCAGAAGAGGCACACCTCACTTTAGTGCAGTCATCTGGAACCAAACCCCTGAGGCCTCTAGGCTTGGCCTGCCCCATATCATGACCGCTATGTTGATTCCACCTGGCAGTGGCCTTGTATGGGCGAGTGCAGCTGCCACATTGGGCTTCCCAGGCTGTAAGCTTTAGGGAAGCCAATCATCAGGACTCTTCTCCTGTAAAGCCGCTGAGCTTTTCAGTTAGCAGCAAGTGAGTCCTTTAACTGTTACACCTCCAGGGCTCCTTCAGTATAAACCCAAATAACCCAAACCCATGACCATCAAGTTGGGTCACCTTCCAACTCAAGATGACCCTCCCTGAGGATTCCGAGGCTGCCGGTCATTACAGGAGGAAACTGGCTCATCTTTCTCCTGAGGGGCCGTTGTGGGTTACAACTGTTCTGTGTCATCAGACGGGGCCCCTGATGCCGGCTGCTCCTCGGGAGGCAAAGATGGTGGAGCTTCATCTCACACCCTTTGGGCATCTTGTTAGGAAAGGCCATTCCTTGGAGAGGGACATCATGCTTGGGAAGGTGGAAGGTCAGTGAAAGAGAAGACGACCCTCAACAAGATGGATAAACACGGTACACCCAGGGGCTCAAGTGTGTGCAGGACAGGACAGGGTGCAGGCCTATTGTTCTTGGGGTGGCTCTGAGTCCCACTCAAAGGCACCTGACAACATGCCATAAAGACTCCTTTTTCTAGCATAATATGTCACCTGGGTTCACATTTTAGTTTCCACCACCTTGGACACAATACCAAGCTTTTTTTTTTCACCCTCTCTTTTTTTAAAATTTTATTAAGTTTAATGAACATTTACAGAGATTTTGGATTTTCATTCATTCATTGTTGCATTTTTCTCCCTGCCCACCCCTCCTCCCATTTCGCTCTTCTCTTTGAAAAGTAAAAGAAAAATTCTTTCATTGGTATACAACTCCTTCCCCCAAGTCCACTCCACTATGCAGCTTGTGTTCTGGACTCTTGTCATGACCATAATACCCAATCATATATTGCTTTTAAACTTTTCTCTCCCTCGTCTGTTTCAATGCAGTATACATAATTTATCCAATTTTTTTTCTCAGTCTTACCCCAACCCCAATGTCAGTCCTATTTTACAACAGTAACACTATGCAGTATTTGTCTTTCTGTGACTGAGATACTTCACTCAGCATAATGTCCTCCAGGATCACCCATTTTGAATTATATGGCATGAGTTCCTTGTTTTTCAATGCAGTGTAGTATTTCATTGTATGAATATACCACAGCTTCTCTATCCATTCATTTGTTGATGGGCACTTAGGTTGTTTCCAACCCTTTGCTATTGTGAACAAAGCCGTGACAAACATGGTGTGCAAATACTAAGCTTTTAAAGAATGTTTTCTCAATTATCATAGTAGAAGAAATAAGATTATCAACATGAAGTGATTCACATAGTGCTTGCTACATACACCAAGCTACAGCTGGTGAGTCGAGGCCAACCGAGAACCTATAGAACAGGGTCGAATGTGCTACAGTGTTTCCAAGGCTGTGAATCTTTATGGAAACATTACTGCATCTTTGTGAGATGACTGGTGGGTTTCAGCCACTTCATAGTATTCAAGCACTTTAACTTCTGTGCGACCAGAGGGGTTTTTTGGGGGGGGATATAGGAAGGCTCAGTAACTATACATTCTAATCATAGTAGTAAAGGAGGATGAACTATTATCATAATTTGTTTTGTGCTGTAAAACAAATGATAATCTGTGAACACTCCTATTCTTAGCTATCATTGAGTTGGAACTGACCCACAGCTGACCCCTCCAGGGAATTTTCAGAGACAGTAAGTTGCACAGGAGGAGATTGCCTATCTTTTTTCTGCAGAGCAGCTGGTGAATTTGAACTGTGTGCCTTTGGGATTAAAGCTTCTTAACACTAGACCACCTAGGGAATTAAAATAAAGGCTTATGAGCCCCTAGAAAATGAAAATAAAGGCTATTATGTTTGGTGGCCTTAGACATAGAGTTAAGTCATACATCTGCCAGGAAAGCACTGCTGTTCAACCCTTTGCACTAGACTTTGAGAGCTACCTAAGGTGACATTCTGTGTGTGGCCAGCATCACAGGAGTTGCTTATTGAACACAGATCTCTAGACATCTCCTGAATGGGGTTGCTCCTTGAGCCTAGGTTGCCAAAGATAAGTGGAGTAGCGTCACAGCTGCCCAGAGGCTGGTGTGTGACATAAGCCGGACACAAACCTTATTTTACTATATGTTGTTATGTGCTCTCCAGTTGGAACCAACCCAGAGCTGACCCTCCAAGTTTTCCAAGGTAAGTCATATGGGAGGAGAATGGTCTTCTTCACCCTTGGGGCAGCTTGTGGATTTGAACCACTTGCCTTTGGGTTGGCAACTCCTTCTCCACTAATGGGAGTGATGGTAGAGGATAAAGGCACAACCTACTGAACCAACTTCTGGATGTAGGCACCAAGGAATTTGCATATCTAACAAGCTCCCTAAGGGATTCTTCTGCACACACGACTTGGAAATATAACAGCCCTTTACCACAGAGCTCTGTGATCAGAGCCTCAGTTCTGGGATTGTAATTAAAATGGGAATCTATATAACCTAGAAGCAAATTCAACCACTGGAGACAGAATTCTGTCCATCCTTGTAGTCCACCCCCTTAGCTACTAGGTTTCCATGGAGAAGGAAGGGTTGTAGCCAGTTGGA